CGATGGAGGTGTTCCAGAAGGATGAGAGTGTCAAGCACATCTTCTGGATTCCTTGTGTGGCACACGTTATGGACCTCATCCTTGAGGACATCGGCAACATTGACTGGGTGGCGACCCGCATTGCTCAGGAGCGTTTGGTCACAAAGTTTTTCAAGCGTCATAGCCACGCTTGCGAAGTTTTGCAAGCTTTCACGACGAAGGCTCTGCTGCTTCCCGCCGAGACTCGCTTCGGTACGCATGTGATTATGATGCGACGACTTCTTCTGCTGCAATCGCATCTTATGCAGGTGGTCGTTGATGATCGATGGAAGGACACTGTTTGGTCAACGAAGAAGATTCGAGACGACGCCGCGGAGGTCACAGCATGTGTCGGTTGTCCTCAATGGTAGGAGGATACGAGAGCGTTGTGCAAGTTGTTGGATCCCATCATGGACATGCTGCAGATGGTGGACAGCGACACGAGGCAGATTGGCAAGATTCTGCGTCGGTACAACGAGATGATCGCACGTTGTTTGTCTGCATGTGCCGCTTTGGAGAAGTACGAGCAGGACGCGCTGCTTGAAGTGTTTGACAGAGGCCGCACCATGTTCAAGTCGTCTGCTCATGTTGCTGCCATGATGTTGGACCCCGAGTTTCGAGACCGCACGATGCCAGATGACGAGGAGATGCAGCACGGTTTGAAACTCGCTCTGATTCAGTTTGGGTACTCGGAACATTCGGATCAGCACACTGAGGTCCTCAGTGTCATTGACAAGTTCCATTCCAGGGAGCCGCCGTTCGACGATGTGGCCATGGACCGGGCATCGAGGAGCTATACCCATCCAGCATGTTTCTGGGAGTCGAAGGAGAAGAGGTTCCCGCACACGGCCTTCTTCGCTGGCATGATACTGCGTGTGTGGGCGACTGCGTCGCCTTGCGAGAGAGCTTGGTCCCGTTGGAGTTTCATCCACTCCAAATCTCGTAACAGATTGGAGGTGGCGCGGGCCGAGAAGCTCGTGCGATGCCATTGGAACCTTCGGCTCCTCAACAGGCAGGCTATGTCGGACGATGCTCCCAGTGACAGGCCACATCCGTATGGGAGCTGGGTGCACTACKRGCAGCAGGTGGAGGAGGAGGTGCCCACCGACCAGCAGCTTGTGGCAGACCGAGGASCCCGTGTGACGGTCACGAAGGAGGAGTTGACGTAGGCGAGAGAGAGGATGCGCGTCGTGTCCCGCATGGGAGCCACTCGTCGCTTGCGGGAGTCTGACAGGAGGAGGTGTCGTGGCGGCGGTCGCGGAGGTGGTCGTCGGGRCGGTCGCGGGCGAGGCGGGCGTGGAGGTCCTGGCGGGAGGCGTAGTGTAGCGAGTCGTGGAAGGGAAGTGGACGAGCTAGTACGCAAGCCTCGACAACGATGGGAGGAGGGAGACTTTTTGTACGAGAGCTCGTCCAGCGATGACGAGGATTTCTTCGGGACTGGCAGGCCTGCACAGGATGGTGACAACGATTTCGACGACCGTCACCCGAACGTGGGCAACGACGATGGCGCCAGTGGCGATGATCACGGTGACGGAGGAGATAGACGACGACCAGCACATGGTGACACAATGCGCGCCGACGGGGCAGGGGGCGAGCACCRCACAGCAGTAGATCACGCTCGAGATGGAGTGCATGATGATGGTTCACGACCTGTCTCGGGCGGTGACCTGAGGCGCTTGAAACGCGGACCAAGGGAAAAAGACACTATCGCTTCACGTGTGCGCAAACGTCATGGTGGGGTTGCTAKCATTCCACTATCACGAGTCCCCGCAACTGGGCAGATTCCAGTTTCTGAGGACTCTTTCAGCGATCACGGCGGCGAGGAGCGGATCGAGCTGCATGGTGGGAGCGGATCCACGAGGTGGCCCTTCGAGTATGCACGCGACAACTCCGATGGGGCCTTCTGCAGCAGTCCCAGAATCGCAACAGGGTCCAGCACCGTTGATGCGTCATCCCGAGGTTCAGGGAGAGATCAGTCCTCTCCCGGCAGTGCGGGACGAGGGTTCTGTCGGTGAACTGCATCCACTCACGTCTGCCGGAGCGGCAGTCTCAGTTGCAGSGACCTCGGATGTGGGACAACCACTGGCAGCGGCGGAGCAAGAAAGTATGCTCCCACCTCGCAGTGTTCAACCGCGGCTACCGCCTGCATTGATGGAGGGGAGTAAGGGGACCGTTGTTGTGTGTCAAGGCGACGATCTCCCGGAACGTGATATCTCACACACTCCCGCAGCCGAGCAGAGCGCCGCAGACCATGCCGGCCTCGCATGCCCCACCGACAGTCTTCCGGGTACCGGCGAGTTACTGACCATGGACTCTGCGCTCGTTTCTCTACCGGACTTGTCGACGTTGATATCCCCAGGTCTACCCCATGTGTCACCGCCCAAGCCACAACAGCCTGTTGTCATCGAGCGTGGATCGGACGGGTTTGACGTGGAAGGAGGCGATATCGCCGATATCATTACGAGCCCAATGGTGTCTGCCACGCCCACAATTTTTCGTGTTGGCAAACTACACGAGGTGGCCCTTGGTTTGGTGGAGACGGCGACGCGACACCGCCGCGACGGTCAGCGCAGCATCGCACAACGCAGTCTTTCTCATTCGTTTGACGGCGCAGAGGAAGGGTCTCATGGTGGGCCAGTTGACACACTCGAAAGAGAAGCAAGACCCCCAAGTCCTCCGTCAAACTAAGAGCATCATCCGATTGCCGCGGCTGTCGGCGCTGATGCGGGCGTCCCCGTCACAAATAGTGGCGCAGACGCGACAGAACAGCTTGTGGTTGGGTCATCGGCGACAGCACGGCGCGACAGAGCCACTGTTTTGCGGACAGTGGCATTTTATGCTAGCGGGAAGAGTACTGGGGGGATGGATGAGCAGGGAGTCCGGAATGTTGGTAGGCCATCTGCACCGTCTATGGGGAAACGATCCATTGGGAGTGTGGATGGTGCTC